ACATTCATCAAGAGCTTTCATTTGAGTACCCACTCGCATTTTTGATATATTTTTTATATATTATATTTATATATAATATATATAAATATATAAAATATATGAAAAATTGATGTGGGTACTCAAATGAAAGGTCTCGATGAGTGTAATGTCGGAGTGAGCTTATATCTTTAAAAATGTCAATAGTTCACGAGATACAAGGTAATTTCTTAATTACGTATCTAGAGATAGAACCAAAATTTTTCTTATTGATAATATAGATAATTTTAAAACTTGAAATTATAAATTAAAATTACCATATAATTACTCAAAGACCCTGAACAGCTGGTGGCAAGTTTGAAGACTTCAGTGGCACAAGTGGCAGCGATTGTAGCATTAGTTGACGCTACTGCGGGTATAATATTCTTAACAACACCTTGAACAAGTCTGTAAGTAACTCCTCGGATGCTGAACTGCGTGGCTCGTTCAATAGATTTCTCGTAGATCCAATTTATATGCTGAGGATCATCACCATCAATCTCGCAGTCGTAAGGATTTTCCTTCGGCCATTGGATGACTTTCACGTACTCGATGCAGTGCTCAGGTAATCTCGGAGTGTTTGCTATTGTACACAATGGGTATGTCCTCTAAAATTAACAAAAAATAATTTATTTAATTTAAAAAAATCCAACTAAAAAAAATAATTTTTAAGACTTTAATCATTTTCTTGACCTAGTTTATTTTTCAAGAAAATTAAAAAAATTTTTCTTATAATTTCTGCTAAGTTGAAGAATTTTCTACTTTATTTATGATCAAGCATTTAAAGCTAATTTTTTAAGTTTAAAATTAATTTCTCTAAATAAAATAAATTTTTCTATCAATGTAAAAGTAGAAATAAAATTAAAACTTACTTGAGGTGGATATAAATCAAGAGTACACTCAATACAAGCACTAAGACCTGGTAAAATAACCCTGGCATTGCCTTTGAAGCCTTCTGTACCACCGTCAACCAGAGGAATCACTGAAGAATGATCCAGTTCATTGTCTTCGTAGTTCAAGAGCGATATTATCATTCCGTTGATCCACCTCCGGGCCACGATTGAGTCCAGCCCGCAGACAACAATGTGGAACTGTCGGTAGAAAGATTCGTCTTTGTCTTGGATCTTGCAGCAGTGAGGAGTCACAGAGCACCCTGGAACTCGTTCGTTGATAAATTTAGCAGCTACTTTGGCTTTTGAGGAACCCAAGTCTTTGTGTCGGAATAAAAATTGTCTGTAAAAAATTAAATGATAGATTTATTGAACTTATAGCTGTCAACAGTTAACTGACAGTTTTGATTTTGTTTAATTTATTAAATTAGAACTAAAAAATATTTTTTAAAAATTGCATTTATAGTTTTTTACAAATTGAAAAATATTTTTTTATTAAAAAAAAATTATCAAATTTTTTTTTAATAAAAAAAATTATAGAAACTTTTTTTTAATAAAAAAAAGTTATAAAAATTTTTTAATAAAAAAATTATAGAAACTTTTTTTAATAAAAAAATTGTAGAAACTTTTTTTAATAAAAAAAAGTTATAAAAATTTTTTAATAAAAAAAATTATAAAGATTTTTAAATGTCAGCTAATTTTATTTTTATCAAGTTGAGGCTTACCTGTTGAGGTTCGAGAGCTCGATGGTGTCCATGTCGATGACGTCTATCTTCCTGAATCCCATGAGAGCCAAGTTCTTCAATAGTTCACAGCCCAATCCACCAGCACCGATCACCAGGACCTTGCAATTCTCCATCAGGAATTCCAGTGTGTCGGGCGACGGCTCGAAATCGGGCCGGCAAAAAGGCCCAGATCTCTCGAGGATTTTTCGCAAATGACTCCAGCGGCGGTGAGTGTGGTCTGGATTCATTTTTATTATTTGGTTTATCTACTTACTTGGATTAATTAAAGTTATTATTCTATCAGACTAGATTTATAAAAATATTACGAAACTCTGGTCGACAGTTTCTTGTCAAACTGGTTAGTGCTGGTTTGCGCGCTCTCATGCATCAAGAAACAAAATTGTTTTTAGAGGTTAGGATTAATGGCGGAAAAGATGGGATTGTGTTCAGTCGCGTAAGGTGAAAAAGGATTTTTTATTATCGGTAAGTGTTTTTATTTCATTTTTAAAATTTGCACAGTATTTTGTTTATTCTATTTTTTAAAATCTGTCAATATCCTAGATAATACAAACTTTTTATTAATTAACTTTATTTCATGATACTGAAATCAGCTGATTACATTTAATAATTTTTTATGGTACTGAAGTTAGAGCTGTTAACTGTCAGTTTTTTTTATTTTTATAACACATTAATTATATATAAAAAAAACACTTCTAAAAATTTCCATTTTTTTCTTTAATAATTTTTCTTTGATAATTTTCTTTAATTTTTACATGTGGAATTTTTTTATTAAATTTTTTTTATAACAATTCAATTGTTATAAAATTCTAAAAAAAATTTCTACGGCTGCGTCTATTCATCCGTCAACCGTATGAATAAAATTTATATAATTTATTTTTCCAATAGCCGTATCAATTAAATATTTTAATTCGTCCGGAAATTAATAATTAATTATATAAAAAATAGTCATAAGTTAACTATGTCTGTCAACTTCAGTGTTATAAAAAATTGACAGATGTCTGTGTAAATTTCAGTATCATATAATTAATAATGAAAATTAAGTTAGTCGACATTTAAAAATTTTTATTATTTTTTTTTATTGAAAAAATTATTACAAAAAAATAAAAAAAAAAAAATTGCACGTCTAAAAAACTTCAAAAACTGTAAGTGCAATTTTAAAAAAAATTGTTTTGTTCTAAATTTGAGTATTAAAAAAAAATCAAAAAATTTAGAACGTCGGCTAACTTTAATGACATTAATTAATAAGTTTATAAAAAAAAATTAATTTAATAAGAAGGATGAAATACTATAAAAAATTACAAAAATTTTTTAAACTTGATAATTTAATTTATTTAAATAAATAAATAAACTTCAAAATCTCTCAGCATCCATCAGTGCATCAGCCGTAAATAGAAAAAAAAGCTTGACAATTTATTTGTTAATTTTTTTTATTTAAAATTTCTTCACCTCCTTATATCTCTTACTTAAATTAAAAATAATAATTACACAATAATAAAGAAAATCTCAATTTATCATAAATCATAAATATAAATAAAAATCTTAAAAATATATTTACAAAATATAAAAACGGTAAATGCTTTGTGTATATAATGATAATAATAACTCTCAATATATAAAATAACGTTTTACATAAATAAAAATAAAATAAGTAGGGTAAAAGACCCCAATAGTGGCGGGGATCCCATTACTCTTTGATTTTGGTACTTATTAAATTAATGAATTCATTAATTTCAATTATTTCTAATCATTAGATCAAAACCTTCAAATCAAAAAAATTTTTACTCCAAAAAGAGCATTTTTTCATTGAAAGAAAAAGTGCCACTAATCGGGCTGATAGGTGCCACTAATTGGGTCTTTTCTAATAAACTGTAACTTTTTTAGTAACAGCTCTAAAACTACCTATTAAACTTATCATCAGAAGCACAAACATACAGCGGAAGATGTGGATTCTCGCCATAGTACCCATAAATAGGTTGCTGGGGCGTAGAAGCATGAACCGGATGCATGACATGCATAGGCTGAACATACGGCAAAATTTGGACCGGAGTATTATGCCCAGTGTGTCCCAAAGTATTTCCGTGGCCCAGTGTGGATCCATTATAAGTAGACCCAACATAGGCTTCATGATTAATCTTCCCCGAATAAACACTCCCAGGTCTCAGCACCGAAGCATCATGAATACTAGAAGCCATGGTGGTCATTCTCGGGTCACCACCTTGTCTAGAACACTTTGCCCAGCACATAGAGAAAATAATAATCGCGACAATCAGCACAATAAAAATAACCACCCCAGCAATCACATAAATCAGAGTATCATCAGAAGTCATAGACCCTGACACTGCAGGGTTTTCCGGATACTTTCCCCTAGTCTCCGGCGGAGTCGGAGCAACTGTCCAGATAATGTCCGGCTCAGACGCGGTGGCGGTGTACCTAGTCGACATTGTCGTCTGGGTCGTCGGGAACCTGGTAGTAGTCGATCTTTCACAAGAAAGAAGATCTTCCGTCAGATCAATTAGCTGTTTGTTGAATAAATGAATCGGACTTTTGCAGCGGACCTGCAAATCATTGGAGAACATCCTGAGCCACCTCCAAAGGTGCTTAGCTTCGCAATCGCAGTTTATCGGGTTAGAGTCTAAGCCTTGGACCCTGACCATTCCGTTTCTTTCATCCAGAGCGCTGATAAACTGCGCTGGGATTGAAGTGAACTTACTTCCAGAGATATCAAGCTCCACTTGAGTAGATCTTGGGATCGGGAAGAATATTGCAGCGGGGAGAGACTCGATTGATGAGTTTTTAAGTCCTAGTTTCAAATTAGAGTTTCTAACTCCAGCAAGCGCACTTGATAGGATACTCTTGAGTCTTTCTCCACGAAGAGTCAATTCTTGAAGCCGCGGGTGAAGTCTAATTGTCAATAAATCATTTCCTACTGCCGAGTCCTTTATCTCCACGTCTAACACCTCAAGATCGTGCATTTCCTTGAGGATTCCTTGGACGTCAAAGTACCCAAGTCGCGGATAGTCATACGCAATTAGCGTTTTTAACTTGTTCAAACTCTTAAATGCGCTCTTCTCAATTCTAGTCACTTGCAAGAGGTTCGACATTTTTAGATTGCGCAATTTTTCCAAGCCTTCGAAGCTACTCTCGTTAACATTCTTCGCCTTGTTGCTGGATATGTCCAAGTTGCGCAACACTGGAAGGGCTTTGTATGTATTCCCAAGACTCGCAAAGTCTTCAATATTGTTATTAGAAAGATCTAAAGTTTCTAAAAGCGTAGCTCGCTCTAGAGCAGAAGGCCGCACTTCGGATAAATTATTCCCCGATAAATTTAATGACTTTAAAAACGGCGTCTCTAGCCTACTTATGCTCTTTATTTTTGTATACGCAAGATTTAACGATCTTAAGATTTTAGCTTCGCCTAAAATACTCTTTATCGCATTTTCACTCAAAGGATTTTGTGATAAATCTAAATCTTTCAAACTTCCGATTATTTCTTGGGTAAACACCGCAGACATTTTATTTCTTGCCATATTTAGATAGTTAAGCGTCATTGATTGCCGTTGCAGGGCGCGAATTGGAATCTCAGCGAATTTATTGTCCGCTAAATCAATTTTCTCAACTATTTTTATCCTAGAGGGGTCAAAAATAGTGTCTGGTAATGTTGTAAGTTTGTTATTACGCAGATTTAATAGTTCTATTCTCACTACACCCTCCATTGTTCTTTCACTAAGACTGTCGATTACATTATTAGATAAATCAATGAATTGCAATTGGGTGGAATTGTGAAAGGCTAATTCATCCACTGATTCTATTTTGTTATTAGATAAATCTAATTCACGCAAACGAGTCATTTGTGAGAATGCAAACTCGCCGATGTTTTTTAACGCATTCTCTGATAGGTCAATCATTTCCAAAAATTGAAGAGGTTTTATAAACTCGCTTGGAAATCGAGCAAATCTATTGCCGTTTAGCTTCAAAATACGAAGTCGCGGATGGATAACAAATGCGGTTGGTGATATGTAACTTATAGCGTTATCGGACAAGTCAATTATCTGCAAACCAGTTCCAGTGTTGAAAGACTCTCCGGCAAAATTGGTCAACCGGTTGCCCTTGAGATTCAATTCGTACAAATTTATAAGACCCACAAATGCGCCATTGTCGATTCTTTCGATTATATTATTGGATAAGTCAATGTGAGTTAAATTGTAGAGATGCTGGAAAGTTCCCTCGCCTAATTCTTGGAGATGATTGTAAGCCAAGTGTAATTTGGCAAGTGAATCAAGGTTGAGTAATAAAACAGTGGGTAAAATTTTTAAACCCGTTCTTGAAGCATCTAGTGTTACTAATGAGGATGGAAAAACAGGTGGAAATCCTCCGTATAAAGGATTCTCGCTTATGTTCAAGTATTTAAGCTTGGATAAATTAGCAAATGTGTCTGGAGTTAATCTTTTCAGGTGATTAGACGCCAAATTTAGCGAAAGTAAATTTTTTAAAGCGAGCGGCGCTATTGAGACCAGACGATTGTTAGAGAGGTCTAAATTCAAAAGCGTGTCTTCGAGTCCTACGAAAGTCTGCTGCGCTAATGATGACAACATATTACCCGACATCTCGATGCTAATTAACTTGTCAAAGTTGAGAAACATCCTCGGTGGGATTTCACGCACTAAATTTCTTGTCATCGCCAAAGAAACTAGGTTCGCCGCTGCGGATCTTAGTAATTCATTTGAAACTGCTGCTATACGGTTGAACTCCAAGTGGAGATGAGTCAACGACGGAAGCCGGCTAATTGCTGCTCCTGGGACGAGTAATATGTTATTGTCTTGTAAAGATAGCCATTTAAGATTCACCAGACCTTCGAACGCTGACTCTTCAACCTTAAAACATAAATAGAAATGTTGTTTTATGATGGCAGTGTTTAGAGTTATTGTGGTGAACAATTACTGCAATTGATACTTCGTAATATAAGTATTTACGTACCGTTCTGAGTGCATTCAAGCTCAAATCTAGACGTGCAAGCGCAGTTAGATTTGCAAAGGCGTTCACTCCCAAACGACCTATGTTGTTTCGGCTCAGGTCAAATACTTGCAATTCTGTTAGATCTAACAGGTGGCTTCTTTCTATCTCCTGGAATTATTTTTTATTAGTTGTTAGATAATTATGGGACTGGAATTAGGCGATGTTAAATATTTTTTTACTTTTTTTTTTATCAATTAAATAATATAAAAAAAAATTTTTTTCAAATTACGAGTGTAATTTTTCAAATTTTTTACATGAGAAATTTGGTCTTTTAATTTTTTTTTATTAAAAAAATAAAAATTTTCAGACTATCAAATCATGACTTTTGTTAAATTGCACTGTACTTTCTTAACTATTGACGTTTTTAAAGATATAAGCTCATTCTGATGTTGCACTCATCAAGAGCTTTCATTTGAGTACCCACATGCATTTTTATATATTTTTCATACATACATATATGTAATATATATAAATATATAAAATATATGAAAAATTGATGTGGGTACTCAAATGAAAGGTCTTGATGAGTGTAACATCAGGATGAGCTTATATCTTTAAAAATGTCATTAGTTGATAAGATAGTAAAGTCATAGTTCTTAATTATTGACATTTTTTAAGATATAAGCTCATCCCGATGTTACTTTAATCAAGAGCTTTCATTTGAGTACCCACATGCATTTTCATATATTTTTGATATATACATGTATATAATATATATAAATATATGAAAAAATGATGTGGGTACTCAAATGAAAGGTCTCGATGAGTGTAACATCGGGATGAGCTTATATCTTTAAAAATGTCAATAGTTCACAAGATACACGGTTATTTCTTAATTTTGTATTTAGGGATAGAGCATCTTTGAATGCAGCTTAAATACTTGTCATAATAAATTAACTTTCGGTGAGAATGATATGAAACCTTAAACAAGACCTTTGCAATGACACAAAATTTTTCTTATTTTTTTAATCACACAGATTATAGCAAGAAAATTTTATTTAAAAATTTCATGTTTAGAAACTCTAAAAAATTAAAAATGCAATTTTTTAAAAATAATTTACTTAATTTAATTTATAAATAAATTATCATCTGCTAATTTCAATGTCATAAATAATATCATAAAAAAATTGTTTTTTATTTAAAAAACACTCACAGTGATTAAATTGTTGGATATGTTGAGAAACTTCAATCTCGTCAGATGTCTGAGTGCGTCTGATGGAAATTCCTGGAGAAAGTTCGTCGACAGATCCAATTGTAGCAGATTGTGGGCACCTGTAAGTGAGATGATTTTTTTTTTAATGATCATTATAATGATATACATTTTCCTTGATGAGATACCGGAATTACAATTTTTTTTATTAACTACTAAACTTTATTTACTTTCATTAAATTACTTCTTTATCTTCTAGACAATTTATTTTTCTGATAGTCATCTCTTTACAATTAGCGGCAATGAAACTATTTTAAATCATTTTACTTTCAAGTAGTATTTTTTTTTTTTACGGTAAAACATTTGTTGTTTATTTTTTTATTATATTTGCTCATCATTTATTTATATTTATATTTATTTATTTACATGTCGTGTTTTTTTTTAACGATGCGCATATGTAATAATCGAAGGTTGCATTATTCGAGTTATGATTGAAGGAATCTTAATTTAATTGCAAAGCAAGTCACGCTAGTCGTTGTGAAGAAATCGCAGAGTTAAAGTACCTTTAGACGGACAAATAATACGGCGAAAAAATAATGCTTATTAACCAGGTGAAAGTCGACTATAAAATGACAAATATATCATATTATGCATAATATACATGAATGACAAGAATAATAACATAAGATACACAAATATTAATAATAGAAATATTATTCGAGGAAATAAAATAGAAATAATAGAAATCTAGGAATGCAATTTTCCACTCTAATCATACCGGTATAAGTATGCCTGCTCGATAAAGGTAATTAGTAATTACTCTATCGTAATACGCCCGGCAATAAAATACGAACTGAAGAATGTATTAATAAAAATGACAAGTCGCGGGTATAAACAAGGTCAGCAATTAAAAATACCGCCGACAAATCAGGGAAGAAAGTTGTTCGAGTGAAACACGTTAGACATATATCACGTGACAAAAGAATCTTGTTCTACTCATACACTTTCGACTAAAAAGTAATTAGATGTAATTATTAACACACTTTTTAATAAGTATAAGTTATCAATATCAATTAAGTATGAATAATTATACAGAAAAGAAAATTAACTTTAATCAAATAAATTATTTTGAAGAATTTTATCTTCTTGATTTAAGTAAAAAAAATTGTTGTGACTTCCGTGACTTGTTAATTATAAATAAATAGGATTTTGTTTTATTAAATAATGATTTTTGTTAAATTGCACTGTACTTTCTTAATTATTGACATTTTTTAAGATATAAGCTCATCCTGATGTTACACTCATCAAGAGCTTTCATTTGAGTACCCACATGCACTTTTCATATATTTATATATTTATATATGTATATATTATATATATGTATATATGAAAAATATATCATAAAATTCATGTGGGTACTCAAATGAAAGGTTTTGATGAGTATAACATCAGAATGGACTTATATTTACGAAAATGTTAATTATTAAGGACTGACCATTGCATTTTGTTAACTAATGATATTTTTAACGATATAAGCTCATTCTGATGTTACACTCATCAAGAGCTTTCATTTGAGTACCCACATGCATTTTTGATATATTTTTCATATATACATATATATATAAATATATAAATATATAAAAAATTGATGTGCGTACTCAAATGAAAGGTCTCGATGAGTGTAACATCAGGATGAGCTTAAATATTTAAAAATGTCAATAGTTCACAAGATACAAGGTCATTTCTTAATTATGTTAATTATTTTATCATATGACTATTTTGGAAACAAAATTTTTCTTATTCTCTTTATAATATAGATAATCAATATTCTTTAAATTAGCTATATCTTCAAGATATAAGCTAATGTTTTGTTTTGACGGAAGTGCTTACAAAGCCTCAAGGAAATAATTAGAAATACAATTGACTGTAAAGAGAATGGAGATCGTTTACCCCTAGATGTCGTGGGATCTCGGAGGAGCCATGCGGAACCAGGTAATCTTTGATAGCACATACCGTAGATACATACTAAACACAAACTATGAGGTCTTGGCCATTTATATACTACATTACTATTATTCATTAAATTTTATACGATTCAACATTAATACAAATACACACTTCTATTTTTATTGCCAGAGTATATAAGCAGGTTTGCGTGTAGATTTTTTCTCACGATATGCTGGTCTGGTAAAAACACGGATAGAATCGTTTCGCTTGCTCGATCGTTCTCTTTCCCAGGTGTTTTGTGTCTACGTTATTGTGTACGTATAGTATACAACATCAGGATATTCGTTATTATTGCTATCTCTATCTTGTATATAATCATGTTTGTGTATATATATTTATCAAGACATAAATCTTTGTTTACATTAGGTCCATTGCTCTCTAAAATTTTGGGTCTTTATCAATTTTTTGTATAAATTTTTTTTATTCGACTTTTAATTTAAATTCTGGCTGAAAGTTTAGAGATAAGAAAATTGATAAAGAAATTTTTTTTCTAGAAAATTAAATTTTTTATAAAAAATATCTCTTATACTTTTTTCGGATCTTCAATATTTTTTTTAGAAATTTATTTACAAATAAAAAATTAATTTTACTGCAAAAATTTTGGGTGTAAAAATATGCTCCTAAAAATTTTGCACAATTTTGAAATTGAAATTTTGGCTAAAGTTAAGAGAAAATCAAATTGATTAAGAAATTTTTTATAAAAAATTAAATTTTCTATAAAAAAAAATCTCTTGTACTTTTTCCCTATCTTGAATATTTTTTAAAGAAATTTAATTTTAAATAAAAATAATTTTTACTTCAAAAATTTTGAATGTAAAAAAATGGTCTTATAAATTTTACACAATTTTTTTTATTTAAATTTTTGCTAAAATATAAGAGATAAGATAAAATTAATTAAGAGCTTTTTTATAAAAAATTTAATTTTCTAAAAAAAAGATTTTTTTTTAATTTAATTCCAAACAAAAATAAATTTTTCCAATAAAAATTAAAACACTATCAGGAAGTTTATAACTTTCAGATCTTATTTATAATTTCTTTTACAAATACGGATAATGTTTTTGTGATTTGCCTGTAAGCCGTAACTAAGAAGCGTGATATAAGAGTACAAAAGTGCCTGATTAAAAGTAATTACCCTTGAATACGTCGCTGTTGAATCTGGTGAGATCATTGCGGGAGAGATTCAAGAAGAGCAGGTGCTTAAGTCCAACGAGCGCGTTGTCTTCCATGTGCAATAGCTCATTGCGACTCAGGTCGACACGCAAAAGAGAATCTCCAAGACTTCCAAAGGCATTTCTTGGTAATAATCCTATAAAAGTAATCAAGCAAGTATTAATTAATCAATTATAAAATTTCCCAGCACTTACATTATTATTTTTTTTGAAACTAATTTTAATTAATTACCGATATTATTTCCAGCGAGTGAAAGGATCCGGATGGCCCGCGGACCTTTGAGGGAATCCGCTGGCACGGTTGTCAAATTATTATCATCGAGATTAAGGTCTTCTAGATAAATGCAACCTTTAAATATTCCCTCTTCAATGCTACTCAGCCCGTTCCCATGAAGATCAAGGAGCTTCAGCTCAGACAGCTCGCGAAACTCGTTGCTGGAAAATATGGGATTGAGATTGTCGCCGAGCAAATTGTCCCCGAGCCGGAGCTCCTTCAAGGTGCTCTGCAGCTGCAAAGTGCGATCCATCAGCCGCTGAATCGAATTACCGGTGAGATCAAGCTTCTCCAGTTGGAATCCCAGGTTCAATAAATCTTCCGGTAATTTTTGATATCCGCTGTACCGACGACTCATTGAAATAACTGGCTGGTCTCTTAGCAATTCCAAGGACTCTCGGGTGAGCATCACTCGATCACAGTCCATGCGAAACGATTGCGGGTGCTCTGAAGATTCTGAACACTTGCACGGGATGTGAAAATTTTCTTTGAATTCTATACAAGGGCGCCATTGTGCGCTGCTTAGCTCTATTATTATCAGGACTATTGTCAAGAGCAATAAATTTCTGAAACTAAAAATTAAAAGAAATTTTTTTTTTTTAATTTATATTAAAAGTTTGGAATTCTTTTTATAATATTAAAATTAGCTGACATTTTTAATTTATTAAATTGGAATAAAAAAAAAATATTTTATAAAAATTGCACTTAGAGCTTTTCAAATTTTATAAATCAAATTTTTTTCAATAAAAAAAATATTTAAATGTCGGCTAACTTAATTTTTATTTTCTTCTTTTATAATTAAAATTTTCAATAATTTTTATAAAAAATAAATTATAATAATAAAAAATGATTTTTAAAATATCCACTTATAATTTTAAAAAATTTTCAAATGTGGAATTTTTTTTATAATAATTTAATTGATAAAAAAATTTATAATATCATTTTTAAACAATGACTTTTTATGAGTTATATTTTATTTATTTTAAGAAAATTGAAAATTAAAAATTGATCAATTAATTAAAAAGAAATTAAAAAATTAAATATGTTTAACGCGTTGAAAAAAAATTTCTATTTTTACTAACAGTATAGATAAAAGATAATAGAAATTGTGAAGGTGATACAGAGATGAAATTTCGCGAGATACTAAAATAAATAAAAAATATTGCTCGAGGCATCGATGTCTCTTTGTGTGCTACTTGGATCTCCATTTCTGCCGGTTTATATCTCTTTCTTCTGGATAACTTAAAGCTAACATAAGACTCGCCCAATAAAATATTATAAATTCTGCATGCCGAGCCGTAATCGGACCAAAGAAGATACTTTCTCGTCTCTGATTACACGGTTAATTTTCGCGTAACTTATAAATTACTGTTTACGTTTATGTCTTAAAACATTAACTCACTCTACCAGACATTAAGTCTAGAAAACATTAAAATACTTAATTTTATTGCTCAACTATTTCAAACAATTATTTTAATGATTTGTTACAAAATTTTTATTTAGAAATTTTCTGACAAATATTGAAAAATTAATTATTAAAATAATTTCATTTAAAATTTATTTATTTATAAACTTATTTAATAAATATTGAAAAATTAATTATTGAAATAATTTCATTTAAAATTTATTTATTTATTTATATATAAATTAATTTATCTATTTATTAAATAAGTTTATAAATAAATAAATAAATATTGAAAAATTGATTATTAAAATAATTTTATTTAAAATATTTAAACAAGAAAATTAATTATAATTTAAAACAAATAATTTTCTCTTGTACTGAATTAATCAATAGCGCAAGAATGTATATTATAATTAATCAGATGGATTAAATTAATAAATTCAAAGTGTTAACTATTTGTTACCCGGCGTTACATTCCAAGAGTAAAAACAGGTATTAATTCAAAAGGTCAGAAGTTGAGCGTGAGTAGCACATCAATTGAGTAAATAAAAGCTTAAAAAACAAACTCCGTTTTTTTTCCATCAAAGATTTATCATTGGAAAAATTACTTAATCCCTAATTACACGGCTAGTGCGCTCCATTGATTACAATATTACTTAACATCCGCATTATTATAATTTAACCGCCGACTGATAGCTTCTTCAATAAAAATTTCTATTTCTTTACAATTAATTATTACCGGCAGTAGAATAAATTTTAAAAAAATCATTTCCTCAACTAAAAAAAATTATATTTAACCAGCACTAACGGTTCTTGCGTGCCGGATCATCAGCAGTTGAGAAAAAACTCTGTTGAGGTCATGGTCGAGTGAGCATATCTCAAATTATATTATCAGCATCCATATTTACATTTACATACTTCCTACCTGTTCTAATTTACTTAAAACCCGTCTCTAATATAAAATAAATTAAACAACTAAAAAAAAAAAAATTAAATAAACAAACACTTACTCGGTCATATTTCTTCTTTTCATTTTAAAACTCTTTTAAAACAGATTCAATTAAAAAAAAAAAAAATGCACTAATGCACCAACCACTCTAAAATATTTCCCGAGTCATCGTGATTAAATATTCTAGTGCGAAAGTGCAAGAATAAAACTTGCTTTCTTCACTAGCAACAACCGCGACTCATCATATCGCTTTTTAAATTATTCCATCAATCTGTTGGGAACAATTGATCCTTTAGAGTGATCAACCATCAGTTAAGTGTTATGTTGAGGATTTTAAAATTGGAGCAGTTTCCACGTACACAGAACAGAACCAATGACCCAGCGTCCACGTTGGTTAAATAATACCGTACACTTGAGTTAACTCGTGGCCCGCAAGTGTAACTGAAGATTCAAGACTCGTTACTTCTGGTAAACTGGCGCCGAGTTGCTTTGAAAGAACCTTTCCCTGCTGGTAGCTGGTAGATGGTAGATGCTATGAAGAGTATGGTGTATACAGAGATCACTGGATACCATATAATACCCAGGTGGGGGAAGAGCACAAGAGAAACGGGGAAAAAGTGGTAGTAAGTGTTCGAGGACTCTACTCGGTGCTCTGATACTTGCTTTAGACTCTTGCCTTAGACTTAGAATTACTTCTACCTCCACCTCCAGTTGGCCGTCCATCTATAACATTTACTTTTACATTTGTTCACATATGAATGTAAATATAAAATACTGGGTACTTCGCTGTACTTTTAATAAAAATTAAGTTAGCCAATATTTAAAAATTTTTAGAATTTTTTTTTTTTAATGAAAAAATGATTACAAAAGAATAAAAAAAAATTTCACTTGTAGAAAACTTTAAAAACTGTAAGTGCAAATTTTAAAAAATATTTTTTTGTTCTAATTTAATTAGTAAGAAAAAATCAAAAAATTAAAAAGTCGGCTAACTTTAGTATAATATGAAAATTAAGTTAGCCGTCACTCAACAATTTTTGATTTTTTTTATTAATTAAAAATTAGAACTAAAAAACTAATTTTAAAAAATTCCATGTATAATTTTTTACATTTTTTAAATGTGAAAATTTTTGTTTTAGTTTTTTAAAAATTATTTTTCAACAAAATAAATTATCAAAATTTTTAAATGTCGGGTAATTTAATTTTCATTACTTTTACACTTGTTATGTACAGCAAGCTGGTCTTGTTTTTTTTATTTGAAACTTATTTTTTGTATTTTCAAAATACTACCTAAAAATCGTATTTTGGAGGAGTTTTTAATTTTTTTCATCCCCTTCTCTGGGGTTGAGAACTTTTAGATAGATTTCATAAAATTTATATCTATTGCATAGGCCCTTGTGTCGAAATTCACTATTTGAATTAAATTAATCACTATTAAATTCATATTTGATTATCATAGAATTTTTTAACAGGAGTTTTGTTTAAGCATTTTTGGTGAAATTAAAAAATTTCAAAATTTGACCAAACAAAATTTCCCAAGCGGCACAAATTTTTTTTTGTTAATGTTTTATTAAATTTAAGTTGACAATTATAAAATTCTGACTTCTTGTTAAATAAAATCTCCCAAAAAGTCAACATTTTTTTTTGTGACGCTTGGGTTATGTTAAAAAATTATATGAAAATCAAACAAATCCCTTACGCTCAAAATATCTTAGGACAAGCCCAAACACAACTTCTGTTACAAGTGGAACTCAAAATTCCAATTTTAAGAGGTCTATCACTGAAGTTTAAATTTGGCACACCATTTGTGCTAGATGTATATAATGCGCGGCTTGTAAACACGATAACTCCCACAATTTTTAATGAATCTTCATGAAACTTGGTAGACTTATTCTACAGACAATTAGCTTGAATAATTTCAAAAATGAGCTAAATCTATTAAATAGTTTAGAAATAGCAGCCATTTGAAATTTTTGAAAATGTAAAAAATTACTTGTTTGGTGACTTTATTAGGGAATAACTTTTCATTGAGAAATGATAGGTCATTTTTCTGCATTCCATTTTAAAGTTGATGAAATTCTCTTTAATTTAACTTATAATAAATTTACTTTTCAAGAATTACAACAAAAATTTAAGAAGCTGAATCTCATCTAAGTCAGTTATTATGGATAATAATTATTTATAACATTGTTATTAAAATCATGGATTTTATTAACAAATTAGAAAGGCCTTTTTTTACTTTGCCCGCAGTTTTGTACGAATTTTTCTGATTATTTCCATATAATTTCAGGCGTATCTGCTAAAAACCCGATTTCAAAGTCTTTTTGACTGAACTATGAGTAATTTCATTGATGTTAATGCCTATTGGAAGTAAATAGACTCTAGAATCAGTGAATGTTGAATAGGAATACAGAATATCAGTGAGCGACACTAGGAATAGGAAAAGTGGGAGTACTTACTCAGCTCGTAGTTCTCTGCCCTTCCCAGAGGTCCCTGGACTCTAACATAACGGACAATGTATGAAGAGCATGCCATAGCTACACCTTCTATCATTCTAGTATTATACTGAATTTTTACAAACATAAACACTGGCTCAAACAGGTCTGTCTTTTTCTTAGGTACAAGTCAAGATGCCACTTCTGCTTCCAATTACACGCGAGCAATAACCATGGGAATGTCCCTCGGCAAATCTAATCCCGACTTTTATTTACTCTTCTCTATAACAAAATGAAAAAAATGGAGAAGGTTATTTCTTCTGAAGATAACTTTTATTAGAAAATTTTACTTTTATTTTTATCTTTGTTGGGTTTCTCTGCTTCCTATTCGCCACGACTAGACCGCGGACAATGAATGGGAATCTTTGTGTACTTTGTTAAGAATTTTCCTGGTAACCTTTCCCTAACACTTGTTCCTTTTTTCGAATTCTTTTGTTCATTGGTTTTTTGTCTTCTAAGGAAGTTGATAATTCTGAAGAAAAAAATTTATATGGTCATTTATTTACATTACCATTTGTTTGGTGGTTATTATGAATTATAATGTGTGTTTTTTTTATTTTCCAGGTCCCACGCTTTCAATTTGTAGAAAAGTGCTGTGTTTCGCATTGTCGGGTTATTATTTATTTATGTCTCCTGGAGGGATCGATTGATCAATGCGGGAAAGTAGATCGGATGTAGATGAAGTATGCGGTGAATGTTTATTCAAGGTAATATATATATTTTTTTTTCTATGCAAGTAGTTAAAAGTGTCATCAACTTTTTTTATATTATTTTATGCTAATTATAAATGATACTAAAGTTAGCTGGCATTTTTTTTTTATTTTTATAAAAAATCATTTTTAATAAGTAAAAAAAAAATACTTCTAAAAATTATCAATAAATTTTTTTTTTTTCAATTTTTAAATTTAAAATTTTTATAAAAAATCATTTTATTAAAAAAAATTACTTTTAAAAATTGTCACAAAATTTTTTTTTTTTTTAATTATTATGTCAATTTTTTTAATTTTTATAAAAAATCATTTTAATTATTAAAAAAAAATACTTCTAAAAATTGTCACAAAATTTTTTTTTAATTTTTACATATGGAATTTTTTATTAAATTTTTTCAATAATAATTTTATTGCTATAAAATTATAAAAAAATTTCTATAAAGTCCTTAAACTTTAGTGTCATTAATTCTAATGCAAATAATTTAATAATATGCATAAATTAAAATTTTATATTGTTTTACCGCACGATTATTTATTTATAAATCTGAATTCATAACTGCGAGGATCGGGATGATAGTTTATTGACAATAATAGCTGAATAAAAAAAAAAGAAGATGAATACTTGTTTTTAAATATAATCAAGGGGAATTGAATGTATTTTTAAATAGATAAAATCTTAATATTTTCATCCTTGAAAAAATAATACAAGGTGTGTTTTATATATCATTACGCTGAATATAAATTTATGGTAATATATTTGGTTAACAATGAACTACTAAGTGTTGGTAAAAGACTAATAGTAATGTCGAAAAATAATGTCCCACATAACGGACCGTAATTTTAATTGAGAAATAGAAAAAATTGTATATATACTTACTACTTACGTATAATTTAAGAATAATGTAAAACCGCAAGCTTACGGTCGTGGGAAATTTTTTAAGTCGCGGAAAAAATAGTTGTTTAACCGCAAAGTAAAAATCCGCTGCTTTCAGGAGTCTGTAATAATAATATTATTATAATAATTGGACAGTAGACAAATTACGGTAATAAAGTACAAGTTATACTGTTAAGTTTACACGTAAAAAACAACAGTAGCCATTATTTAACACGAATAATACCATCGTAATGTCACTTTCTTTGTTTTTGTTTGTGTCTTCGATTGAGATAACTTTTAAATGCAGATGATACAATAGTGGATAGCGGACGCAAGTTTTCTGGGTTTTAAAAGTACACAATAAAATATTGTGTGGGAAAATTAATTGGGAAATAATTGAGACTCTGGTGAAGAAAGAATTTATTGATTACTATCAGGATTATTTTAAGAGAAGGTTGAACTTACCGGTGACAAATTTATTACCGCAATGTTTTTTTTGTAATTAATATATGCTTAATTGTTTCAAGACAATAGATCATTAAGCGCGTGTGTGAGAATAATTATAACACTTTTTGTGAGATGTCGATTTTTATCAACTTCTAGGCTCTCTTTTCAAAAGTTACTTCATTTCCGAAAATGTTTTATTTGTAATTATTTCTCATGTAATTATTTTGAAATATTATTTCAGTATCAAATTACAAAAATCATTTATAATAATAAAGTTAGCCGACGTTTTTAATTTTTTTATTTATTAATTATTGAAACAAAAAAATATTTTTTAAAAATTGCACTTAAAGTTTTTCAAATTTTACAAATAAAATTATTTTTTTAATCAAAATTGTAAAAATTTTCAGATGTCAGCTGACTTGATTTTCATAAATTATTTTGAAACAATTTAGGCATTGATTAAAAAAAATGAAAATAAAATTAGCCGACATCTACAAATTTTTATAATTTTTTTTTATTAAAAGAATTTTAAAACAATTTTTTCAATTGCAAAAAAACTTCAAAACTATAAGTGCAATTTTTTAAAAATATTTTTTAGTTCCAATTTAATAAATTAGGCAAAATCAAAAAATTAAAAATGTCGGCTAACTTTATTAATATATAAAAAAAAGAAAAAACATTCCTTATGACATTAAAATTAGCCGACACGACAATTTTTTAATTTTATTTAAAAAAAAATTTGTTCCAAAAAATTATTTTAAAAAATTGTATTTTTAATTTCTACATGTCAATTTTTTTAATTAATTTCTTTCTTGCCAAGATTTATTTGTTACAAAAATTTTTAAAATTATCAAATGTCTACAAAATTAATTTTCATGCATTTTTTGAAACAATTAGTTAAGAAATTTTTTAACATTTTATAATAAAAATTAATTAAAGTTAAATAAATAAGTTTTTAATGTAAAGATTAAAAATGGTGGAGTGGTGATTTGACATTTCTTCTTTTAATTAGATTACTGATTGATTATTATGAGATTTTAAAAGCAGCGCCGCCAACTTAACGCCTAGTAACTTTTTAAAAAATAAAAAAAGTAACTAGAATTTACAAATGGCGGATCTAGTTAGATTATCTGTCAAAGCGATCCAGATCCATGCACTGCTGATTGTCAAAAAATAAATAACAAACAATTAAAAATAATTATATTATTATAAATAAATAATAACAATGCCTGTCATGTTGACTGTTGACTGGTTCCCTCTGGGAAGGGACACTTACTTTCGGTAATTATTATCACTATAAAATGAAACAGAATTTTTGTGATTTTTTAATTAATAACAAATAATTTTATTTTTTAGAAAATTCGAACTTTACCCAATGGAATTTCAATATGAAGTAAATTTAAATAATTTACTAATTGCTGCGCCCTACGGAGGGTCAATAGCAGTCACCAGAGATCCTAAAAAATTTGTTAAAGTTCAAGGTGCTAACAAACCTATCATATCTCTTTACTCCTCATCAGGAAAAGTAACTTCTAAATTCACAGTACGTATTTTTTTAATAGACAAAAAAATTGTACAGTCACTATCAATAATTGATTGAAATTTATTAAAAAGTGGAACAGTGGTCAATTAGTAAAAATGGGATGGTCTCATCAAGAAGAGCTGCTGTGCGTTCAAGATGATGGAATGATTCTTAATTATGATCTTTTTGGAACATATCAGACTACTTTTAGCATGGGAAGTGTATGTAAAATTATTATTAATTTTTATGATACTAAAATTGAGAATCTGATGATTTTTAGAAAATTTTTATGACATTAAAATTATTTGTCACTTGACCAATTTTAATATGAAAATTAATGTAGCGCATATTTAATAATTTTTTAAATTTATTGACAAATAAATTATGGCAAAAAAAAAAAATAAAAAAAAAAAGTGACATTTAAAAATTAAAAAAAAATAAAAAATGCAATTTTTTAAAAATAATTTTTTGGAAAAAATCTTCTTGTTAAATAAAATTAAAAAATTGTCAAGTGACGGCTAACTTGTATGTCATATTTTAATTCTAAAAAATTGCATTTGTAACTTTTTTAATTTTCTACATCCTGTTTGATATTCATAGTACACTATCTCGTATTTATTTGTTATAAAATCCTTAAAATTATTAAATATATAATAAATTAATTTTCATGGCTCTAAAAAATTATAAGTGCGATTTTTTATAAATACTTTTCTAGGCTTAGTTTATTATTTAAAAAAAATATCTGCTAATTTCAATGATTTAAATTATTTTATAAGAAATATTAATTTATTTTATTTTTTAGGAAGCAAAAAATACTAAAGTAATTGACGCTAAATTTTTTACATCAGCAAACGGTACTGGAGTAGCAGTTTTGACTTCTACAAATTTAGTATTCCTAGTAAATAATGTCGCAGAGCCTAAAGTGCGACAACTTCCAGAAATTCCTAGTAAAGATTTTTCAATCCTAATAAAATAATTTTATAAAATATTAATTAATTAAAAAATACTATTAATTTTATTTAGAACTAGGAGGTCCAATAGACTCTTGGTGTGTCGTAAGTTTTGAAAGACAGAGCCAAGTAATAGTAGCGAACCAAAATGGCCTGTACCAAATCCAACACATGGGTAAAACACCAGCACCTATACCCTTTGGTAATTTATTCAGCAACAAAATAAACAGTGTCACTGCGATGGCTGTGTCTGCAAACAATTTGCACCTGGCTCTGTACGGAGACACTGGACATTTATACCTCGGGTCAGTGGACCTAAAGGAGAAGTACACAGAGTGTATAACTGGGATGAGCAAACCACTGATAGATATCGCCTGGTGCGGAACTGAAGCCGTGGTTTGCTGCTGGAATAATTCCTTGATGGTCGTAGGGCGTAGCGGTGATACTATTTTGCACGTCTACGACAGTCCGGCTCATTTAGTAACAGAGATTGACGGTGTGAGAGTCATTTCTGCTAGCTCTCACGAGATGATTCAAAAAGTTCCTAATGTTGTGCAGAAAATTTTCCGCATCAACTCGACTGACTCAGCTTCTTATCTGCTTGAAGCTTCAAAGCAGTTTGAAAAGCGCAGTCATAAAGCTGATAGTTATATTGATTTGGTTAAAGACAAACTTGATGGTGCGATAAAAGATTGTGTTAATGCGGCGAGTCATGAGTTTGATTCAGAAACTCAGAAACTTCTTATAAGAGTAATGATTTTTTTTTTTTATTATAATTATTATTTTTGTAATAATTAACCTTTTCAAGGTTTCATATCAGTCTCACTGATAGTAAATTTATAATAATAAGTAATTAGGCAGCGTTGAAAAAAAACCTATCTCTAGATACATAATTAAGAAATGACCTTGTATCTTGTAAAATATTAACATTTTTAAAGATATAAGCTCATCCCGATGTTACACTCATCGAGACCTTTCATTTGAGTAGCCACATCAATTTTTCATATATTTATATATACTATATATATATGTATATATGAAAAATATATCAAAATGCATGTGGGTACTCAAATGAAAGCTCTTGATGAATCTAACATCGGGATGAGCTTATATCTTAAAAAATGTCAATAATTAAAAACTGACTTTACTATCTTGTGAACTATTGACATTTTTAAAGATATAAGCTCATCCCGATGTTACACTCATCGAGACCTTTCATTTGAGTAGCCACATCAATTTTTCATATATTTATATATACTATATATATATGTATATATGAAAAATATATCAAAATGCATGTGGGTACTCAAATGAAAGCTCTTGATGATTGTAACATCGGGATGAGCTTATATCTTTAAAAATGTCAAAAGTTAAAAAAGTACAGTGCAATTTAACAAAAGTTATTATTTAATAAAGCAAAATTTTATTTATTTATAGTTCACAAGCCACGGCAGTCACATAGTGATTGCAAGGAGCTCATCCTGACATTGTACTCATCGAGACCTTTCATTTGAGTAGCCACATCAATTTTTCATATATTTATATATACTATATATATATGTATATATGAAAAATATATCAAAATGCATGTGGGTACTCAAATGAAAGCTCTTGATGATTGTAACATCGGGATGAGCTTATATCTTTAAAAATGTCAAAAGTTAAAAAAGTACAGTGCAATTTAACAAAAGTTATTATTTAATAAAGCAAAATTTTATTTATTTATAGTTCACAAGCCACGGCAGTCACATAGTGATTGCAAGGTTGCTAGTATTAATTATTAATAATTATAATTAGAAGAATTTTTTAAAAATATTTCCAGGCTGCAAAATTTGGAAAAGGATTCAGCAAAACAATAGATCCAGAGCGTTACGTAACAATGTGTAGAATTTTGAGAGTTTTAAATGCCATAAGACATCCAACCATCGGAATTCCATTGACATTCACACAGTTTGTTTTTTTTTTATCTCTAGTCTCAAAGAATATTAATTTATTTTCATTTAAAATTATGTAATAAATTTCTCAATTATTTAGATTGGACTTATTGACAAATCAAGTATTACTCGACCGATTGGTCGTCAGGCGACACTATTATTTGGCTATTCAGATAGCCAGGCATTTACAAATACCTGAGGAAGATGGTGAAAGTAGAATTCTTGCTCATTGGGCTTGTTATAAAGTATTTTTAATTTTTCAATAATTTTCTTATTTATCTTATTAACTTGAAATTAAACTATTTAAATAAGAAATTAATTATTTTTAGGTAAAACAAACAGTATTGGATAAAGAACAAATAGCTGAAGAAATAGCAGCGAAATTGGGATATGCGCGTGGAGTTTCTTATAGTGAAATAGCTGAAAAAGCTGCTGATTGCGGTAGAAAACAATTGGCTATAAAAGTATTTATTTTTTAATAAAAAAATTTATTTATTTAATGAAATAAATTTAATTAATTAATTGAAAAAAATAAATTTAATTAATTAATTAAATAAAATAAAGTTAATTAATTATTAAAATTTTAATATTTTTAGTTAATCGATTACGAACCAAGAGCGCATCTTCAAGTCCCACTACTCTTGCGTCTAGGTGTTGAAAGAGCAGCTCTTGACAAAGCCGTAGAAAGTGGAAACACTGATTTGGTTTATCACGTTATTTTACATTTCCAAAAGAACATGCCTCTGGCTAATTTTGAAGTAACTTTCTACGAATAATTTTATTTAAAATAAAATAATTAATTCCAATTATGTAATTGATGTTATTTTCAGATGTCAATAAAACACTGCCCATTAGCGATGTCATTGTACATTAAGTACTGTCAAAATCATAATCGAGAAGCTCTGCTGGATATTTATGACATGTATGACGATTTTTACTCACAAGCTCTCTGGTATATCAGAGAAAGCTATCAGCCTAAAGTAATTTATTAATTAATTAACATCTTAAATAAAATAATTAGAATTAGTAATTATTAATTGATTGTAGAATGCTTTGACCCGAGAACCGCTGTTACAAAATGCTCAAGAAAAATTCAAGATGGGTCGCTATGACACCAATGCAGCCTTGACTGAGGAGCAAGTACGCTTGCTGAAGTATCAGAAACAATTAGGAGAAACTTTACGCGAATCAGTAATAGGAAAGTCGCTTCATGACACAGTACAATTATTGTTAATGCAAAATGAAGTTAAGTTAGCTGATAAATTACGCTCGGAGTACAAAATTCCGGATAGGAGGTACTGGTGGCTAAGGATTCAGTGCTTGTCCGAGCAAGGGCTTTGGGGAGAGATGGAAAAGTTTTCTAAAAGCAAAAAATCTCCGATTGGTTACGAGGTATTATACATTTTTTTATTTTTTTAAATATTAATTATTTGATAATAATTAAAGTTTATTTTTAATCAGCCGTTTATCGATGAGTGCTTGAAGTATAATCATACTGAAGAAGGAAAAAAATATTTATCTCGTGTAAGAGACGAATTAAAAGTTAAATATCTTGCTAAATTCAAGTAAGTTGTTTTTTTTTTATAAAAAATTTTATCCTAAATAATTTTTTTATTTATTAATAATTGAATTTTAAATAGAATGCTAGTAGAAGCAGCTCAAACAGCGTACGACCAAAGAGATTCATCGGCTCTGTCATTTGTGCTAGCACAGTGCGGACCTTCCGACAGATTACTCGCAGAAAAAATAAACGGAATGCTAACTAGTCTTCGAAGTAATAAATAATTATAATTTATAATAAATTGTTTAATATATATTTTGTACGTACTATTTTATATTAAATACATTTAAACTATAATTTGAAACTGGTTAAATTTTTTTTTTTTTTTTATTATTAATTTATTTATAGTCGCATAAACGTCTATGGTCATGAGCGACTACTGAAAGATACAATGTTGAATATATGATTTACATAATAGATATAATAGATGCATGTAGTATTTAAGAGGTCGGTAGATTTATATTTTTGAGGTAATTTTTAATTTTTTTAACAATTTTAGTACTTCGTTGAGATTCTTCTCGTCGCTTAAGTTTCTTGACAGTTCCATTGGTGTGGTTAAACGAGGGCAATCTTCTAGAAGATGGTGTATTGTGATGAGGGCCTCGCACCTTGGGCATTTTTCTCTGGCTAGTCGTGTCATTAAGTGATTGTGAGTCAAATATGTATGACCTATTCTTAGTCGGGTGTATTTTACTTGTGTTCTTCGGTTATTAGATGTTGGGGATGGTTCCCATACATTTTGTCGTATTTGGTGTAATAATGGAAACTGATTAAATTAAAAATATTTATTTTATCCGATTTTGTTCATTTTTTATACATATTTATAAAAATCATTTTTGAAAAAATAAAAATTGTAGAAATAGATTTATATTTATAATTAATTAAATGTTTTATTAAATTCTTGGATAATTAATTATGATAGTGGCATCAATAGACATCTTATAATTAGAAAAATTTTTATAACAATTAATTAACTAACAAAAATTTGATATGTAGAATTAAAAAAAAAAAAAATATTTAATTTAAATTATTAATAAAAAAAAAATTTTTTTACATCATAATTAATTTTTTAAAAAAATTAATAAAATTTTCAGATGTCTGCTGATTTTAACTTAATGTCATAATTAATTAGGACTGAATTTTTAAAAATTGTGAATGTCTATCTACAAGATCATCAATTATATATTTTTCAATTTCTTCTCCTTTTTCTAATTGTTGATCAGTTAAAAAAATTTCGTAATTTTTCTCCTTCGTTACCATTACTACTCGTTGTTTGCGCGTTTGCAGCATGTTGGCTATCACCAGCTGTAAAATTCAGTTTAAAATTTTTAATTGAGTAAAAAATAAAAAAAACAATAACTATTTTAATTGAATGAAAAATTAAAATAAATTACTTACATTGTGATTATAATTATTTAAAGCGTCTCGGGCTTTTTTAATCAATAAATTTTCATCAGTCTCCAATTTGAAGGAAATAACAAATGCTTTGGGCACCCACAAGCTCACTAAAGGCTTCAATATTTTTGGTACTAATTGTAGTGATATATTTGGAGGTCCACTAGATTGAATTTTGTGAACTGACTGTTTAAAAAATTAATTAGATTAATTAATTAATTAATCATCTAAGGCTAGAAGAAATATAATTAAATAAAATTACCATTTCATGAGGAGGAACATAAAAGTCAGATACTGCAGCAGCTAAATATATGATAGCTCGACGTTCAAAAGAAGCTAGTGCTTGACAAACAGCTCTTAGCAGCCATAAATATTCAGCAACAGTCGTGAATGTTATTTGCAATAATTTTTCTTGCTTCAATGTCTGTTTGTATTTCACCAAGACTTCGGCAATACGGTCTGAATACTCTGGCAATACTATTTAATTTATTTAAAATTAAATTTATAAGTGATCTTTAAAATATATTTTTAACAAATGCAAAATATTAATAGTGTCTATAAAATTACTTGCTACTGAATTTTTTCCATCAGCTTCTTTTAGCTCCAGCATATCCAAAAATTTCTGTCCGGTGAAATGTCTTGAATACGGCTCAAGAGTTTTGAGTCTAAAAAAAAAAAAAACAAGTAAGTATTAATTAAAAAAATTTTAAATAATAATTAAATAAATAAGATATAAAAAATTTAGAAATTTTTATTAAATAATAATATTTTTAATTTAACATGAAGAAAGTTTGGAAAGTTTTAAATGCAATTTTTTAAAAATATTTTTTTACTTATAATTTTTATTAATTAAAAAAATTAAAAATTGTAAAATTTCTGCTAACATTATTATAAAAAAAAAAAATATGAAAATTAATTTAGCAGATATTTGACAATTTTGAAAGTTTTTGTAAAAAATAAATTATGTCAAAAAAAAAAGAATTGACATCTAGAATCTATAAAAAATTCAATTTTTTAAGAACAATTTTTTGGAACAAATTTGTTAATTAAAAAAAAAATGAAAAATTGTCAGTATAAAAATTACCTGTACATAAATACAACCGCATATCCCTGCTCCAAAAAATATTCAGCCGACACAGAGCCCCTGGTACCAGCGCTGAAGTTGTCTACAAATCTGACAGTGTTGTATTCCAACGGCACCGTGGTCCCTCCACTCTGTTTACCCAAAAATTCAATATTTTTGACACTTATCATTATCAGTCATAAAATTATCACTTATCTTTTTTTTATTAATTAAATTTTATTATATAATTATCACACAGTATTAAACTTACCGTCACTAAAACAATTCCTTTAGCATTGTGAGCTCGCTCCGAAAATTTTTCCAACAATTTTATACTGTGATCTAAATCTTTCGGCTTTGGAAGATTTGCATAAAATTCTTCCCAGTTAGATCCCATTTTTTATTTTCAACAATTAAATTACTAGTTTAATATAACCTCAAAATAAATTATTGTGAAATTGACAGAAATCTGACAGGTCTTAGATTTTTATAACAATTAAATTATTGTAAAAAAAATTAAATGAAGAAATTTTTTAAAAATACTTTTTTTTTTCATAAAAATTAATTTTTTATAAAAATTCTAAAAATTGTCACGTTAGCTGATATGTCAAAAAAATAAAAAAAAACTTTTTAATTATTCTAAACTTACAAAAAAATTAAAATATTTATTTAAAAAAATAAAAATTAACTTAATAAAATTTTTTGCACTTTAAAAATACTGTCTTATAAATAATGATACTGAAGTTAGCCGTCAGCTGTTAATTTTATAAATTTTTATAACAAGTCAATTACCATAAAAAAATGCTTTTAAAAATTTTCACTTGTAATTTTTATAAATTTTTACATGTGCAACTTTTTAATTTAATTTTTTTTTATAATAATTTAATTGCCATAAAATTCTAAGAATATTTTTTATGTCTGTCAACTTCAGTGTTATAACATATGGAGTCTCTTATATAATGACCAGACAGTATAGAGTAAATATCTTACACCTTATACTCTTCGATAATGATCAAAGTTAAAATAATAAATTATTCATAGTTCAAAGAGGTCAAATAACCAAACATTTTTATTTAAATAATAAAAATTAAAAATCAATAAATAAAAACAATGATTAAAAAATATGAGGCAAAAAATTACTATATTTTAAACATTTTATTTTTACACAGCATCTGTATCATTTAATATTCCGATTGATGTTTTAAATAAATACAATTTTCCAAAACATTTATGATACTACATGCTCGAATAACCTATTTATTAATTTAATTAATTAATTAGTAGTCTGGAACTGGAGATTTAGAGTGATCGATTTTCGAAGTAAACTGAAAAAAAAAAAAAAAAAAAAAAAAAAAAAAAAAAAATTTATTTTTGCTGTCATTGTTGATACATTGTTACTAATTTGACGTGAATTAAATTAATTAAATACCTTGTATTGTTTAGTTTTGTACTCCTGCCATGGCTCAGGGTTTCTAGTTCTGCTCCATGTAACATCAGGGTTTTTTGTTGCCAGACGGAGCAAGTATCCGGATGACATAAATCCACCGACTACTACACAAGCAAACAGCGGCAAAAGCTAAGTAAAAAATAAATAACAGTAATTTTTTAATAATTGTAATTGTTAATGGGAGCTAGATAGAAATTGTTGGCTAGGAAATATAAAATGGAGATTGACTTACCGCTGGGTTTTTTTTCAAACTTTTCATTTCCAGCCCCAACATTTTGGTGTTTTTATAAGTTACGTGATCAGTTGTAATTATTTTATTTTCACCTTTCTGGTTTTTTATTCGCAGTGCGTAATTTTTTAGACCAGAGACGGACTAGAATTACTTCCAGAGCAAAATATGTTTTTTTTTTTTGGGTTCTAAACAGCGACCTCTGTTTTTAATTTTTTTTTATTATCAGCTGAGTTAAGAAAGCGCTTACAGCGACAACCCGCTTATTTTTAATGAACTTTAAATATGACACAAAAGTTGACAGATTTAATGATTTATTTGATTTTTTTATAACAATTAAGTTAATGACACTGAAGTTGACATTTTTTATAATGAAATTATTATAAAAAAAATTTAATTACAAAGTTCCACATTTGAAAATTAATAAAAATTATAATGACATTAAAGTTAACAGTCACTTTAATTTTTTTTAATAAATAAATTTGCTCCCAAAAATTAAACTAAAAAATTTTTTTAATTTTCTAAATGTCAATTATTTTTTTCATTTTTTTTTTTGACTTAATTTATTTATGAAAAAAATTATAAAATAGCTGCTAAATTAATTTTCTTAAAATTATAAGTGAAAATTTTTAGAAGCATTTTTTTTTGTAATTTTGATTTATTTACAAAATTTTTTAAACTGACAGCTGATATTTTTTAAACTTCAGTATCATTTTAAATTATTATTAAAAAAATATAATAAGAAATTCTATAAGCAGAAATTAAAAAAAGTTATAAGTGCAAATTTGTTTTTAATATTTTTTTAATACAGTGAATTTTCTGAAAAATTGTCAGTCAGCTGATTTCAGTGTTAAAAATAAAAAAATAAAAAATTTCAAAGAAAAAAGTTAATTAATTTAGATTTAAATTAATTAATCAGTGATTATTGTTAAAGAAGAAATAAAATTTATTAAAAAATATATATAAAAATTAAACACTTATCAGCTTCTGACAAGGTAGGTCATATAAAAATTTATCTTGTAAGCTTACACAAAAAATATTATTATCAAGAATTCACATGTGGAATAATATGATAGTTTTAATCTAAAATTTTAATTCTCAAGACTATGAACCAGCAACGAAGAAATAATTAATAAATAATAAACAAACAACGAACAATGACACTTGTCAATTATCATTAAACTTCCAACGAAGAAAAGGTATTTATATTAATAACATGGACACATGGAGCCTTAGATTATATTCGTGGTTAAGCGACATAAATTCATCGCTTTCTTTGTTAAAAATCCACAAAAAAATTGTTAATAATTATTCACTGCAAAGTAGCAATTTTCCCCTCACAATTATTCTGCTATGGGTTATTTTGTATGCGGTGTACACCAAGTGCCTTCATGTAAGTATTTTAATATTTTTTTTATGTCATTATTTTATATAATTGTTTATGTAAGTTGTTTATTTATAAAAAATATCCATGAAAATTAATTTAAAAAATATTTAATAATTTAAAAAAGTTTTTTAACAAATAAATTATGGCAAAAAAAATTCTAAAAAAAAAATGACGTAGAAATTTTAAAAAATTAAAAATGCAATTTTTTTCGAATAAAAATTGTTTGCTAAAAAAAATTGAAAAATTGTCAAGTAACTACTGAATTTAATATCAAATATTATTTAATTAAATTGTTAATTTTCAGCTCCTATTTAGACGTATGCAATATCCACTGTTAATTCGCCGGAGAATAATCGACGGTGTCTGGACAATCTGCTTTGCAATCAGCAGCATAATTTACCTGAAATTACTAGTACCTGAATTATTAGATTCAACTTGCCTTTCAAGAAGACCTAGATATTTAGATCTAGGGTTTGTTTTACATAAAACTTTTTACTTACACCGTGGAATTATTGAGATTTTAACACACGGCTCTTGGTTACAAGGAATCATTAATTTATTATTTTGTATTACTATTCACAGTTCATCTGAACAAAAGTAATTATATTTAATAATTTTTAATTTAATTTTATTAATTTAGTAATTTTTTAATTTAATTCTTATTATTAATAATTTTTTTAATTTAATTTTATTAATCTTTTAATTTAATTTTAATTTTTAATAAATATTTTATTAATTTTTATTAATTAAATTTATTATTCTTTCAGATCATTTGATATTGCAATTAAATTACTATATTGCAAAGCAATTTTATCAATAATTATAAATACTTGCCGCGTTATTTCGAGCGTTAAAAATAAACGCCGGTTATTGATTATTAAATTGCTGCTAATTGCTCATTTCAGCAACTGGTAATTTAAAAATTTTAATTTAATTAATACTTACTAAATTTTTTTTTAATTAATTTTTAATTGCAGGATGTATGTAAATTATATAATTATACCAGATTTAAAAATAGGAAATTCCAAAGGACTGAAAACCGACTGGCTAATTTTATTTTGTTTGTGGATTTGGTTGTTTTTAGAATTATTTAATGAAGTAAGAATTTTTTAGTAAATTAATACTCAAATTATTATCTTTTTTTTTTATTTATAGAAAATTTATGAATAAATTTTATTTACAGATGAGTAATGTAAGGTTGGCGTTTAAAAATTCAAATCACAAAATAGAAGCTTATTTATTCCCTCCGCCGACAGAAGAAATGATTGAGATAAAAAATATCTGCAAAAAGCTCCGTGAACGATCAGCAAATCAAGATTACGACCTCACAAATGACAAAAAGAAAGCTGAACTTTGGCAAACACTTTGCTGTAAGTACACCAACAAAGCAACTAGGTAAAATTTATTTTTTATTTTATTTTTTTAAAAGTTTCTCATAACAGTTGTAGTAAATAGCTCAATAAAAATAAATATTTCTCTCACAGGTGCGATGACGCTAAAAAAAAAAGCTAAGAGAATGCGCGAAGCCAAAAATAAACTGGATCTAAACCAGAGAGAATAAAGTATTTTTTTTTTTTTTTTTTATTTATTAAAAAAAAAACCAAAGCCAACAAAATAACTTTTGGTAATTATTTACAAGTAGGATCAATTTCATTTTAGACCATAATTAGGTGAAAAATTAACATTTTCAAATTTTTTTTTATTCTAAATTATGATAAAATTTATGATACAATCATCATAAAAATTTATGATAAAAAATTTCGTGAAAGAAAAAAATAAAGATTTTGATAGTTTTTTTGCCTTCAAAAATTGGAAAAAATTTTGACTATGTTTTTGGATAAAATTTATATTTTATCTTTTTTTGATATATTTTTTTTTAAATACATAAAAAAAAAAAACGTTGAATATCACAATTTTGTAAAAAATGTATAAATTCATTTAAAAATTTGTAAAATTATGATAATTAACTTTTTTTTTAAATTATTTATTATTTAAATGTATTTTTCAAAAAAAAAAAAAAAAATATATCAATAAAATCAAATAGAAATTTCGTTAAAAAAAATTAGAATTAAAATGATTGATCCCACTTGTAAATATTTGTTTTTTATTTAAAATAATCAGCAAATCCAACAAAGTAATTTTTTAATAAAACAATAAATTAGTGATAAAATAATTGATTAAAAAAAAAATTAATTAATAAAATAGAAAAACATAATTACAAAAATTAAGTTTATTCATCAATTTATCGATATACACGTGTTATGTAGAAATTTATTCATTAATGCTTACACGATTTATTTAATCATTTATTTTATAGTTTCATTAAATGGGGCATCGCGCCAATTGCTGATGTTTAAAATAATTTTTTGTTTTAATTAATTAATTAATTTCTTTTTATGGCTACAATTTAAAGAGAATCAAATTTAGCAGTCAGCTGGATGCCCCAAAAATGTATCATTTAAAATTACACCATCGGTATTTATTTATTTATTTATTATAATAATAATTATTTTCAAATTATTCTGGGGCAGGTTGTTTAGAAACACTATGTTACAACGGTATGTGAACCTCATTTAAAATTGGACACATATATTATTAATATGGTCGCTATTATATATGAAACTGTTCGTTGAATTATTGATTATTAATTAAATTATTACTTGTTACAGTCCTTGTCGTTGCATAGAGTCGCAATCCATATTTTATTAACTGAGCTTGCCGCTGACGAGATACCAAATTGATAAACAATTTTTTAGGCAATATTATTTTATATATATATATATATATATATATATATATATATATTATTGAATAATATATTCATATACACAATTATTTCTCTCTACTCAATTTTAATCATTAATTATTAATAATTAATCAAACGTTATTTATTTATTGTGATGACAAAAAATCTAGTTTAAAATTAATATGTCCTGATACATTAATGTACATTTAACTATTATATCATGGCAGTTAATAGAGAACATACTGTAATTATGTATGAGCGAGTGATTAGTTTTTTATCCGCACAAGTTTGAGCAAACATAACTATTGCGGTTAACTACCTACAAGCTGCTGTAAGCGATGGAGTTTTTTTTTTCTGTCAATATACATTAATTTTATAAAATAAATTTAATTTTTTTTCCTCAGGCCAATAGTATATATTCGATGATATTTTATAGTTAGTAATTACTAATTACTTTTTATATTTATATTACTTTTTTTAAGAGTTTTTTGTTGGCGTGAACACGTTTGATGACGAGTTTTTTTCTTTTATTTTTGTTGATGGTCATTCACTCGGATATGTTGTTACACGCACACAATTTTTATTTAAAATTTTAAAAATAATTCATTAATTTTGTAAAATATTTTTAAATAAAAATATAATTTAAAAGCAATCATTTGACAATTTTTCAATTGGTTTTAAAAAATTGCATTTTTAGTTTATTAAAATTTCTTCATGTCAATTTTTTTTGCCATAATTTATTTTTTAGAAAAATTATCAAATAACTGCTGAATTAATTTTCATTTATAATTATACCACTGAAATTTACATAGACAATTTTTTTTAAAATAAACTAATTTTAAAAAATTATTTTTACAATTTTTTAATTTAAAAAATCATTAAATGCACTGTACTTTCTTAACTATTGACATTTTTTAAGATATAAGCTCATTCCGATGTTACACTCATCAAGAGCTTTCATTTGAGTACCCACATCAATTTTTGATATATTTTTCATATATTTATATTTATAATATATATAAATATATAAATATATGAAAATTGATGATGGGTACTCAAATTGAAAGGTCTTGATAAATGAAACATCGGAATGAGCTTATATCTTTAAAAATCTCATCAGTTGACAAGATAGCAAAGTAAGTTCTTAATTATTGACATTTTCAAAGATATAAGCTCATTCCGATGTTACACTCATCAAGAGCTTTCATTTGAGTACCCACATGCATTCTTCATATATATATATATATATATATATATATATAAAATATATGAAAAATTGATGTGGGTATTCAAATGAAAGCTCTTGATGAGTGTAACATCAAAATGAGCTTATTTCTTAAAAATTGTCAATAGTTCACAAAATACAAAGTCATTTCTCAATTATGTATCTAAAGATAAATTAAAAAAAAATCATTGAATGCCTCTTAATTTCAGTATAATTTGCAATAATCCTAAAAAAAAATTCACAACTTTTCTTCTCAATAAAAATGATTACTACAATGAAAATCTTATCGCTTCTAATAAATATTAATTGTACAATCGGAGGTTTTTTTTTTAATATAATTAAAAGTAATTATCATTACTTTTTACTTTTGTATTATTAAATGGAAGTGTAAAAATGTTAAGAAAAAAAAAAATAGTAAATGGACCGGATTAAATATCCTCCTCGGTATATATTAAATACTTAATTACTTAAATTTAATACAATATAATAATTATCGGCGATTTAATAAATTACAATCGCTGTATATAATTAACTAATAATTTCGCATCGCTAGTGGAAGGGAATAATGCTTGATTACTTATTAATTATTTATCAATATTAATATTATTAATATATCAATTTCATTTGAATAACTATCACTGTGCTTATTTCTGTTAACATTTAATTGCTGTCTTAATAATATTTCTTACACATAAATATTAATTAATATAAGTCTATATATAAATTAATATATATATTTTTACCAATCCATCCACACACACATTAATTATAATAATAATAATTATAATTACTCTCACAACAAAATAAACATTAAATATATATTATTCACACAATTAATGATAAATACAACAAATACATTCACATAATACCAGAATAATAATACTTTATTCACCTGACAACTCTAACGCGTTAATATTAAATACAATCTCTATTATTTTCAATTATCAATCAATTTAATAAAATAAATATGTATAAAATTCATATTTCATATATATATTTTGCCTCTACGGAGATTTAATCCACAAATAACGGCTATATATATTTTTAATTACACTTTCCGATAAATAAATTACAGTAACATAATATACGACCCATTTATCACAAACACACCATTAAAATCTATTTTTTTTTTTTATTTATGTATATAATATATATATATATTTTTTTTTATTTTTTAATTTATATTTATATTTATATCCTTTTAATAATTATTAACCACATTATTATTTAGTGATAAATAAAACCAAATAAATCAGCGAATTAATTTTTTTTTTTTGACTGTTATTACAAACATATGAGCAATAAAATTGGGTCGATATTTATAATTTAAATATTTAAAGCCCCGACCCGTTTTATTTATTATTTATTCCACATCCTAAAATTCAGACGTAGAAATTTAGAATTTTTTTAATAAATTATTTTTAGACACAAAGTGTCTTTTTATTTCTTCCCATTAAATCTTTTTTCTTCATTTTATTTTTATTTTTTTTTTTTTGCTTAATCAAAATATTGTATGGCCCCTTCAATGACAGGCTCGATGTAACGTTTAGTTTGCGAAACGAATTTTTAGTTAAATATTTCTTCCTGAGTCTGCAACAGGCGAAATAAATTCACCGCCGTCTGTTATCTTCACAAGTATAATAATTGTCATCATTATCTAAATTAATCCTTCAAAACTGCTTTAAATTAATTACTGCGTTATGCTTACGAGTCACGTTTTTCGTACAGTACCATCGACTTTATTACATCTGAAGAGAAACTTCGGCTAATCCTCGGGTGGATGTCGGCAACACGTTGAGACTTAGTGAAGCTATATGATGAGGATTGGCTTATTTAAATTATTTATTATTTAATTATTTTTGTGATCCTCCACTCGTTAGATTATTAAAAATAATTACTGTAAAAAAAAATTAAATAATAATTGATATAATTGCAGACGATTAACAAGTGTCTTCTTAAACTCTCGTTATATTAAAATAAAATTAGCCATAAAAATTTTTTTTTATTAAAAAAATTAATTTAAAAAATTAAAAAATTGTAAGTGTAATTTTTAAAAAGTATTTTTTTTAATTTTAATAAATTAAAAAAAATAAAAAATAGTCGGCTAACTTTATATTCGTTATTCGTTTCGTGACCATTAAGACTAAGATGGAATAACATCGTCAGTCTTGGTTTGGTACATTAACTCGCGAACCAGCTTAAATTTATTTAACGATTTTGTTATTTTGTTACTTCTGATAACTTTATTAGTCTTACGAAACACCTAACGTTACTCAGAGGGTTGTAACGATGTGCGGTTTGGCAGTGGTTGAAGCTATTTCTGATAATCTAACGTCGATGGGTACACGGTCGTCGTACAGAGTTGGTGCTTGTAAAATTATTCCAGCTGTCCCTACTATTACCGCCAGGGTGAAAATCCACAGGAATAGTCTGTCTAGCACCATCGCTACGTACTTCCAATCTTCTTTTACCTGTAATTAAAAAAAATAAATATATTTTTAGAAATTTTAAAACAATTCGTTTGTTAAATTGCACTGTACTTTTTTAAAAATTGATGTTTTTAAAGATATAAGCTCATCCCGATGTTACACTCATCAAGAGCTTTCAGTTGAGTGCCCACATGCATTTTTGATATATTTTTCA